GTGCGGTGCGGAGTGCGATCCATGCGGCAAGGGGATTTTTATGCTAGTCGCACACCCTCGCCCCTCCTCCTCCACCCCCTCCCGGTGAACCCCTCTTTTTACACTCCTACCCTCTGTGTACATGCACACCTTCCCAATGACACTTCCCCCCGCCCCCCATTCCCCCCATTATACCACCCGTAACCACCTTGGAATGGCCGTTTGTGGCGGCGCCGTGCAGTGCCGTACAGCCCGAGCTGGTGACCGCATCCACCTCGGCTCCCGCCCGCAGCAGCACTTCCACCACGTCCTCCCAACCCGCGGAAGCGGCGCAGTACAGCGCGGGGGCGCCGGAAGCCAACCTAGGAGTGTAGGTGGGTGGGTGTGGGTGGGTAAGGTGGGTGCGGGGATTTTATGGGAAGGGCTTTTGTAAGGGAGCACCAGGAGAACTCCAAGGTTTCAGCGGCGGAAACGTGGTAATAGATGAGGTGAAGGGATATCACCGAAAGCGGCCTGGCGTTGGCAACGCAGCCCTGCGGATAATATGTATGTATGTATGTATGATGTGTGGGACAGGGGGGTGATATCTACACTCTGCAGCTGCTGTACCCGGCCGAACCTGCCTTCCCCGCGGGTATTTCGGGGCACCCTCATCTAGTCACCCTGGTCAACTTCTCAGTGGATCGCTCAGGCTCCGCACCCACCACCGGCATCCAACGGAATCTGCCGGATCGACAGCGGCCCAACTCCATTCCTGGTCGGCTCGCTAGTCAACTTCATCCCAGGTCACCACCGTCCATCTACTAGGGGCGCAATACCTTCCACCATCGGAAGGATTTTCGACCCTGACAGGTCTCGATCCCGGGATCTCCCGGGGGCAATGGTCGTGCGTTACCGGTAGTGTATGACCTGAGTCGTACATATAACATATACTATATCAATACATCAATACAACCTTGAGATAACCTTAATTTAACTCGGTGTAATGTAATACATCTTTTTTATATCACATTATGATAAAAAAAGTGTAATGCAAAAGGTTACATAAAGAAGAAGCGGTCGATGCCCAATGCCCAAGCAGCCAACCACGGCGTGTTGCTTGTGACGGTGAACCAGCAGATGGAAGATTACAATCCTGGAAGTGGTGTCAGCCCGACACGGCCGACCGTGTTCTCGAGAAGTTTCGCAAGCCCACCGTGATTTTCTCCCCTCCCTCTCTCCCTCTCTCCCTCTCTCCCTCTCTCCCTCTCTCCCTCTCTCTCTCTCCCTCTCTCTCCCTCTCTCCCCCTCTCTCTCCCTCTCTCTCCCTCTCTCTCCCTCCATCATCCTCGTCCTTACCTGCCCATGACCGGACAGCCCGCTTCAATAAGTACCTCACACACCACCGCATGGCCGTTGCTCGCGGCCTGGTGCAGCGGCGTCGCACCGCCGCTGCTCTTGTACGACACCAAGCTGCCGGCGTCGAGCAACAGCTCAACCACGTCCAAGTGGCCGCCGGCTGCGGCGGCGTGGAGCGGCAGCAGCCCCTCGGCGGAGGCGATGTTGGGGTCGGCGCCGGCGCGGAGCAGACGCGCCGTGATGGCGGCCGACCCACGTGTCGCAGCGGCGTGGAGAGGCGTGAAGCCCTCCGCATCGCGGGCATTGACGTCAATGCCGCTGCTGCTCGGCGGCAGACAAAGCAGCTGAGCAACAACCTGCTCAAGCCCTGCCTGTGCTGCCAAATGCAGCGCGGATAAGGCCCCCGCCGGTGCCGCGGGTGAGTCGGCGGCGGCGGCGGCGGTGGCGACAGCGCGGCCGGCGCCGGCCTCCAGTAACCTCGCCACGACGGCGACATGTCCACCCGCTGCTGCCAACTGCGCGGCGCTGCACCCGCACGCGTCAGGAGCGTGCAGGAGATCCGCCGCCGCGGCGGCGGCGGCGGTGCCCGCAGCTGCTGCTGCAGCGGCTGCGCCGCCGTACGCCGCCGTCAGCATCGCCCCGGTTAACACCGCCACACAGCCAAGCGCACCAGCCTCCGCGGCCCAATGGAGAGGAGTGCGGCCCAGACAGTCCAGGGAGGCAAGACGATCGGCGGCGGCGCCGCCACCACCACCGCCACCAGCCGCGAGGAGAGCAGCGACAACCTCGGCACTGCCGCCAGCGGCGCCCCAATGGAGCGGCGTAAGGCCCTGCACGTGCACAACGGCGTATATACATATAAATATTATAATATATAATATAATTAGGATATATTATATTACATATTATGAAAACGCGAGTTTAGATTTAAAGGTATAAAGGCCCTCCTGGTATGGACACGATGAAGAACAGCGGTACCGGCTACCGGCATCAGATCTAGTCACGATCCAGACACGGTCGAAATGGAAGGCCGCAGGTCCACACAAAGCGGGGTCCCGGTTGTGTAAAACGAACCCCGTATATCATTCGATCAGGTATAGTCTTTTGTTTTACACGTACCCTCCGATCTGGTCGCAGCGGATCACACCCCGCCGACAGAAGCCGCGCCACCAGCGCATGATTGCCACTCCCAGCGGCGTATGACAATGCCGTACATCCCCAGGCATCTGTGACGAGCGGGTCGGATCCGGCGGCTATGAGCGCATCCACCACGCGCATCTGCGCCGCATGGTCGATGACGGCCTCGTCGGCTGCGGTGCCGTACGTGGCGGCGGCGCCGCCAGCGTCACGCCGTACCTCCGTCTGCTCCTCTTCCGAATGGCAATGCCAGGCGGCGTGTGTCGGCGGCGTAGGGAGCGGCGATGCCTTGGTCCGCGCGGCGGCGGTAGCTGCGGTCGCAGCTGCTGCCGCCGCCGCGGCGGCGGCGGCGGCGGTCGCCGTGGCGCGCCCCTCAATCGGCGCGCGCCCAGGTCCCATCGCTGCGAAATGGAGGGGCGTCTGATCAGTGGTTGCTGTACGGGAGTTGGCGTTGTAGCTCTCCCCAAGGAGAACTTGTACAATATCCGTCAAGCAAAGCTTAGCCGCGAGGTGCAGGGCGTTGAGAGGCGCGCGTTTGGAAGGGGTGCCTAGGGCCCCACAGAGCTGCTGTGGCTGCCGGCTGCCCGCCGCCGGGGTCAGCGACGGCGACGGCGTCGACAGCCGCGGCGGCGTCGACACCATTCCTTCCTCCTGCGTAATGGCGTCCCGACCGCCGCTGCCGCCGACGCTGCTCGCTGGTAAGCGCCGTAGTGCGTAGGAGGTGCCTACTGCTGCTTCCCGGACGGCCTCGGAGCTGCATTCACCCTCCTCTCCTGGCTCTTGACCCGGGCTTGGTTGTGGACCTAGTGCATCAGGCGATACAGGATGCAGCGGCGGCGGCGGCGATGGCGATGGCGATAGCTGCGGCATCGTGGACTGGACACGTAGCACGCTGGAGGGAAGCTCCACGCCGAGGCCCCACGGCATCGCTGCCGCCGCGCCTGCGAGACCGCCGTCAGCCGTCTCCTCGTCCGCCGCCTCCGACAGCCCCGCCGCCAGCAACCGCTGGATGATGGTCAAGTTGCCTCCTTCAACCGCGTAATGAAGGAGCGTGTAGCCGCGCGCGTCGGGACGAGCCAGCGACGGTGGCAGCGCCGCCGGCGCCGCCACAGGCGCCTCCGGTGCCTCGGCGGCGGCGGCCGCCGCCGCGGCAGCCAGCAACCGCTCGAATAAATCCTCATCGCCGCGCAGCGCGGCAAAATGAAGCGCCGTGCAGCCATCGGCGTCACGGACCCGTGGGTCGGCTCCAGCCTCCAGAAGTCCGGTCAGCAGCTCTGAGTGGTGTCCTCGGGCCGCCAGGTGCGCGGGAGTCCAGCCGTGTGCGGTGGCGGAGTGCGGGCAGGCCCCGCACTGCAGCAGCAGCTGCATCAGGGCGGCGTTGCCCTGCTCCGCCGCGTGATGCAGTGCCGACCATCCAGCCGCGTCCTGCAGCAGCAACAGAAAATTCACCAAGAGAAAAGGAGGGTAAAAAGAGGAAGGTCCGAAGCCTATGAATCCCTGAAACCACAAAAACCGGGCGTCTCCCTTGTCCCTAAAAATAGAAAAATGAGTATTTACACCTTACACCTTGCAAAAAGAAACAGAAAGTAAAACTACAAATATTAATTTGCAGAAATTTAGCTAAAGCGAAGTTGTTTAACTCAAACGGGTGATCGAAAAGCAATTGCGATTGCCAATACATCTCTCCCTTAAGACCGTGTCAGTGTGCCCATGCCGGGGCACAGTTGACATGGTGGTCCAATTCGCAAAAGCGACCCGCGAACTTAAACCTTCGTCCACCATTTCACCGGAGCTCATGCAGTTGGTGATGCTTCTAGGAAATGATCATATATGGGGAATGATCATCATATATGGGGAAAATGATCATCATATATGGGGAATGATCATCATATATGGGGAATATTACCACCCACCAGCTACCCATCCCTCTCCTTACCTCCACACACACACACACACACACATTCGGTCATCACACATGATCAGTTCAGATCAACTCACCCGTCGGTCAAGATCCTCCGACGCCACGTGTTCGAGCAGCAGTCGCATGACACCAACCAGCCCCGCCTCAGCCGCGTAGTGCAGCGGCGTACGAGCGCCATCGTCCGCCGCCGCCGGGTCGGCGCCCGCCGCCAGCAGCGCCGCAACAACGCCGCCGGCGCCCGCCGCTGCTGCGCGGTGCAGCGCCGTGCAGCCGGAGCTGTCGAGGGCATCCACATGCACGGGCGCGACGCCGGCGGGTGGCGCTAGGAAGACGCTTATAGAAGCTGATTGGCCAGCTGACGCGGCGAGATGCCAGGGCGTCGCGCCGCCAAAATCCTGTCATAAAAATACATATAATAAAAAAATTACTTCTGTTGTACTATATATATAAATTTGCGTTATTCCCATTTTCATATACATTCTTACATCGTTACTTATATTGTTATACTAGTGTTTATTTTATTTTTATTTATTTATTTTGGTATATTTTGTTTTAATCATATTGGTCATGCGGGGTGATGTGGTGTAGATGGTGCGTCGGTCGTGCGTGTGGTAGTCAAAGCCGGACAGGAGTTTCGCCTCCCCTGGTGCCTTTTCATTGCATACTGGAACGCTCCTCCATCCCTCTGTGCTCCCCCCTAGGTCCCCTCTTCACACCTGACGAAGCGGATCTCCGCCGGAGCTGGCTCCCAGTTGAAGCAGTCTGGCTACCACCTGCCCGCGACCCGCCGCTGCCGCCCAATGCAGCGGCAAACGGCCGTCGGACGCCGGCGATGCTGGGTCAATTACCCAGCCGACGCCGCCGCCGCCGCGGCTGCTGCTGCCGCCGCCGCTGCCGCGAATGCCGCCCGCCGGAGCGGCAACGTCACACTCCGGTGCTGCCGTCACCTCGACAGTTTGCCGCCTGCTTCGGTCCTGATTATTGTGATGCCTTTCCTGCTCGCCAGCCACACCCGCGGTGGTGCTGGCGCCAGCACCAGCGCCAGCGCCGGCGGCTTTGCTTCCGCAGCTAAAATTCTGCGATGTCGATGTGAGGTCCTTGCCTAGGACCAGATGGCCGCTGCTCCCGCAGCTGTGGCTGTGGCTGCCCACGGGGCCTGCGCCTGCGCCTGCGCCGCCGCCGCCGCCGCCGCGGCCAACGTCGGCGGGAATTGCCGCCTCCGCCTCTTGGTCGAGTTTCAGGTCCAGCAGGCGCTGTACGACAGCTAAGTTGCCACCACGGGCGGCTGAGTGCAGTACGGAGGCCCCGGACGAGTCTGTGACCCGTGGGTCAGCTCCGTGCTGCGAAGGTATGGGGAGGAAAGTATGGGGCATTGCGCAGGACTTTCAAACGAAGCTAAAACGCAGGAGAGTAAGGCACGATGGAGGAAAAGGGCAGGAGATACGCGGGAAGAGTGGGCGCTGGATGCGGCACGGGCGCAAAGGCAAAAGATGAGGGAAGATGAGGGAAGGCTTCTTCGCGACCGGCGAACGAGGAGAAATCAGGCATTCCCCGACTAAAGTCTTACGGACTGTCGAATTTATTAGCGAGTGTTATTCATCAATAATCCTTGGGATTTTAGGGATTGGGGTTATCCTTTAAACCGTACCATCAGCAACAGCTCGAAGGCACCCCGGTGACCACCCTCCGCCGCCCGGTGCAGTGCCGTACAGCCGCGCCAGTCGCGTCGCTCCAGGCCGCCGCCGTGCTGCAGCAGAACCGCAATGGCGGCGCAATGGCCGCCAGTGGCAGCCAAATGCAGCGCCGTGTGACCCCCGCTGCCGCTACCGCCGCTGCTGCCGACAACTCCGCCGGCGGAGGAGGACGAGGAGTGGGAGCCCGCAGCTACAGCCGCTGCCGGCGACCGCTGCTGCTGTTGTAAAGGCCTCTGCGATGATCCCCTCATTGGAACTTCTCGTGCTGCTGCCTCTGAGCCCAATCCCCGTTGCTGTTGCCGCTTTGGCTGATCCTGCTGCTGACGCTGCTGCTGCTGCTGCTGCTGCTGCCGATGATGATTATGATGATGATCATGACGATGGGAATGAGAAGCATGATGAGAATGAGGTTGATGCTGGTTTTGATCCTGCAACAGAGACGTCGCCGCCGGCGCCGGCACCGCCGTACGGCGCTGAAGAGCAGGCGACGCATCTGTTGCCGTCGCTGCCGCTGCCGCTGCCGCCGCCGCCGGCGCTAGCGCCAACCCGGATCCGGCGGAGCCACTCACGCTATCAGCCGCCCACGGAGGCCCGGGCTGCGGCGTCGCTGGACCGCCCAATAAGTCCACCTCATAGCCCGCCAAGAGCAATTTCTCCAATACCTTCGTATTATCATGCGATATTCATATTGTCGTGCGATGCGATGCGACGGCGTACGATGTACATATTATAGCGCAGCGCCGGAGGCAACAGGAGGGTTGCGGAGGGGGGTAAGACGAACAACTTCGACAATCGAACCGCAGATAACAGAGATATAGACGGATAGTCCAGAAGGGGTGAGGAGGGGAAGAAAAATTATAACGCAGGGCAACAAGGGGGGGGGTGGAGGAGGGGAAAGACAAACCACGAACGAGTGAAGCTGCTGCCAGGGCAAGGGTGAGGAGGAGGGGGAAGCGGGTGAACACGGGTTTCGGACTTGCGTGGGGTTAGTTAGCCAGGTAAAACCAGCAGCTCGCCTTACTCGCCCTACACAGAAAGGATGACCCAGTTGCGTACACATGTTCCTCTTTCTCACGGACAAGGCACAAGGTACGGCGTCAACACAAGATATTCTAACAAGGGTTCTGGTCCCCATCACACCTCGGCGTGGCCCCGCATGGCGGCATGATGCGCGGGTGTGTAGCCGCCGCAGTCCAGACGGTGCACCCCTGCCCCCGCAATAATCAGTCGACCCGCCGTCTCCACGTGGCCAGCCATGGCGGCGAAATGCAGCGGCGTCCTGCCGCAGCTGTCCGCGGCGTCAATGCTGGCACCCCTAGACGCCAACCAAAAAACATGTAGCGGGAGGCGCAGGCGGCAGGGAGGAGAGGAAGGTGCGATATATGTTGGACGATATATGTGATGGATAGAACCTCAAAAAAAAAGATTTCTCCGACCGCACAGGCGCCCCCCCCCGCGTCCTTTCTTTTTCCCCCCGCCCCCTACCCTGGCGCACCGCACAGCCTACTCTTCCTACTCTGTTTCCTCCTTCCCGCGAGAGCCCTCTTCTCTCATCTGCTAACATACAAGCCCTCTTAGCTCCCCCTTCTGGTCCGCACCTGGGCCAAAGCTCCTCCACCACCCGCCAATGTCCCAGTGCCGCGGCGTGGTGCAAGGCCGTATGTCCCTCTTCGTCCACGGCATCGACCACGGTCACCAGACCGGCAGAGGCGCAGGTGGCGGGGCCTGCGGAAGCGGCCCCTGCGGCGCTTCCGCCTCCGCCGGCTGTTGTTGCTGTTGCTGCGGCGGCGGCGGCGGCGGCGGCCGCGGCCGCAGTGCGCAGCAGCAGCGCCACCACGGCCTCGTGGCCATTGCGAGCCGCTAGATGAAGCGCAGTGCGGCCCTGGTGGGAGGTTGTAGCCAGAACACGTAAATTAAATCACTTAGGGTTTAGAGGTCAGCACGTAGTATAGCAAAGGATTTTCATCCATGAGCTGTCCCTGGCAACTAAAACTCCCCCCCCACCAACCCCCAACCCCCCACCCCCACCAACCCCTATGCGGGATGCCTAGGGAGGAAGAGAAATCGCGACAGACGCGGTAGAGCTAAATACTCTTCACACAAAAGTGTGCAAAGAATGTAATACACGGACACGGTAATACATGGACGCTGCGCGTGGGGGGAGAGGGAAGGAACTCGGTGTAGGGGTACTTGGTGTGCATGGCTTTGAACGACTACGTGTATGTGCGCACGTGTGCACTACTGCACTAGCGAGCGCACTACCGAAACGTGTAAATGGCGACGAAATACCAGGCCCGTAAATCACATAATTTATGTAATGTAATGTACATTACAATTACATAATTTAAGAAAATTATGATGCCCGTAAATCACACATTCCCGGACATTAACGTCCGTACGTACTCCTAGAGGAAGTCATGAAGCCATAAAGTCAGAAACTGCCACGTTCTGCATATATATACTAGAGGATGCGACAAAACAATTTCCTTACTATGCCGGGTATTTCCTACATTAATAGGCTCCCCGCGGGCCCCCCCCCCGCCTGGATGCAGCGATGCTACGCTTCCGTTCTTCGGCAAAACTACCTACTCTTGTACCACAGCCCACCGCCTACGGTTCCTGGCCGTGGCCGTGGCTTACGCCATGAAAAAAACACCCGCGCCTGGATGTGGATACAGCGCACAAGATGCCGCCTTGCCACCTCCGGAAACCCGTAGCTTCACGCCCCGCCCGCGCCCATGCCAAGTTGTAAGAATTCAACACCACAGCCATTATGGACAACGACAACACAGCCGCCCAGCTCCCGGGGCCCAGCTGTCCTGGCGCCTGCCCTATCCCGGAGGCCTTCCCGTACATAAATCAACCCGTTCTCTCAACCCAGCCTCATTCCTCACCTGCGCAGTGCGGGCCGCCAAGTCGCAGCCTGGCGCTCTCAAAAGCACCTCACACACCGCCGTGTGGCCGTGTGCCGCCGCCAGGTGCAGCGGCGCAGCGCCCACGTAGCTCGGTCTCGCGGCGAACGGCGGCGGCACGCGGCCACGCCGGAAACGGCGGCCGCCAAGGCCCATCGGCAAGGGCAACGGCAGCGACAGCGCGCCCAAGCCATCCAGAAATGCGACGCCGAGGCCTTGTAGCTCAGCGTCGTCGACATCGGTGCCGATGTCAACGTCGGGCGCGCTGTCGTACTCGACGCCGCCGTCGTCATCGTCGTCGGCTTCAGGCTCGCCGTACTCGTCCCGCCGGAGGAACTCTTGAGGCGGAGGCGGAGGTGGCGGCTGCCGCCGATCCGAGCTGTATAAGGCGCTTGAGGCCGCTGACCAGGTGCTGCCGCCGCCTGCGCCGGTAGTGGAGGCTGCCCCCGCCGGGGCCGCCGGCGGGACATGGCCGTACACGGTGCCTTGCTGCCGACAACCATCACCGTTATCGCCCACGGCCACGATGGCATCGCCGCTCGTTTCGCAACTTCCATCACCTTCGCCGTCACCCAAGCCGACGTCAGCGGCGTCGCCGTCAGCTTGTCGCTTATTGCGGCCGCTGCCTGCCGTAAATGACCCACGGGCCCGCTGATAGTCGTACATTTGCTGGTACAGGTGTTGTTGCAAAGGCTGCTGTTGATGCTGCCCGCTGCCCCGCGCCGCACTGGCCGTGAGCCGCCGAGGGCGCCGTCGCGGTACGCCAGCGGATGCTCTAGCCCCCGGCATTTTCAGATGGCTGCCTGCGTCTGCCGCTGCGGCAGATGCCCCGGCGTCGCTACTGCCACCAGCAACAACACCATCGCAACCCTCAGAGCGTGTAATTCCGGTGATTCCAATGCCATCAACGCTAGCAGCTCCGACAGCAGCAGCGGCGGAGGCGATCATGACATCGTCCTCATCGCCTGTGGCTGCGGCTTCTTGTTCGTCGTCATGCAGGCGCTCGGGGGATTCCCCGGGGCGTTTCCGCCGCTCCACGACTACCCCTCCACGTGCATAAAGGTCATCCCGACGCTCCAGCACCGGCGGCGGCGGCGGCGACGCCACCGCCATCCCAGCGGCGGCAGCACTGTGACCTAACGGCGATGCCGCACCGTCATCTGGCGTATTCACCGCCAAACCCAGTTGCAGGGCTTCACCTCGCTGCCGCGGCTTCTCAATCCGGATGTGTTTCTCAATCCGTTCGCTTCGTTCCGGCGCTGCCGCTGCCGCTGCGGGGCCCCCAGCCAAAACTGTAGACGACGACGTCGACGACGACGTGACGGCGACCGGCGGCAGCACGCCCAATGCCGAGTCAGGAGTAAGGGAAGGAGGACGAGGAGGCAGCTGGGCGGCGGAAACGGCTTCATGCTGCCGTCGGTTGCCACTGTCGCCTCCTCCATTACCGTTATCGCCAGGACCACCAGGAGCGAAAGTTCCATCAACAGGGCACGTGGCAGGGCTGCTCGCAACGTGAGCTGGAGCGGAACCTGAGGCCGAGGACCGAGGCTGCAGGCCGCTGCCGCCGGGGGCGGCTCCGGCGGTCGCTGGGGCGGTTCTTCCGCACAAGCCGGAAAAACCAGCAGACATGACATCCACCGCATTAGACCTCCAGAGCTGCTGCTCTGCAAACTTCCCTGTGGGACGACAGAGGGATGACAGAGAGACGACCTTTTTCTCTGGGCTTTAGCAAGACTCTTCTCCTAGAGTTCATGCATCCGAAACAGATGTCGCATACAAGGTAGAAGCAGAACTACCGGGAGTGATAAACAATGTGTAAATAAAACTAATAATAAAACAAACAATAATACTAATAATAATATTATTATAATAATAATACTAATAATAATAATGATAATAATAGTAATAAGAATAAAACTAATATTATACTAAACCATTTTGTATTGTTTAACAACAAAAAAACATATTTTTTTGTTTGCTGTATAAATGATTCTTCATCATCATAAGATTTTATTTGGTTTTGATTAAGGATATATTTGTTAAACTTTTTCGAAAAATAATCTTAGTTTTAGTTTTAGTTTTAGAAAAGCCGAGTATTTTTTCTGAAAATACTCGCTTTTTTTAAAACTAAATAACCCACGACAAACGTGACTACTTAAAATAAATAATGTATGTATTATTCTTACGCCCAAATAAGCAGAAGGGAAAGCTCACAATCGCCCCAAACCGACTCACGCGAGGACCTACCCGCCAGGAAGTGCAACTGATCAGGCGTCAGGCGGTCCCCGCACGTATCCAAGGCAATATGCAGCCCCAACCGCGCCGCTTGTGCCACACTCATAGACGACGGCGAGCCATCGTCAGCGCCAAACGCCATGTCGTCGCTGTCGGTGAAGCTGCCGCCGCTGGCGTCGTCTTCGTCGGCGGTGGCGCCGCCACCGCCACCGCCATCGGCAGCTACTGCGGCGGCAGTTTCACAACCATCGGCGACTTCAAAGACACCCTCTCTGGCATCACCCGTCTCCGTTGCGGAGCAGGTGGCGGCGGTGGCGCCGCCGCCGCCGCCGCCGACACCACCATTTCCGGCGCCTGTCATCGTGCGCCGACGGCGCGGCGTGGGCATGACCGCTTCGGCAGCGTTGGCATGTTCAAAGTCCGTGATGTCGTACTCATCGGCGCCGTATGTGTACGAAGAGCTGGCGGTGCTCGTGCAGTCGTCCGGGCAGTCCAGCCTGTGAACGTCCGGTGCATTTCCGACGTCAGCAAAAGGCGAACATCCTGGCTGTCGTCACACACACGCCTACCTGACCTCTACCAAACAAACATCCAGACATGCGCTTTAGAGTTTTTAACTCCAAAAACAGTTAAAAAACACATGTCAAAGGAGGACTTCCCAACCACCATGTCTTCGTGCCCCGTGCGTTCCAGTGCAGCAAGCCGTGCCGCCCTTAGCAGCCTTCAACCAGCCTTCAACTAGCCTTCAACCAGCCTTCGACCTCCCTTGGACTATAACAACACCCCTCTGTTCTGCCTCTGTCCTGCCTCTGGTGTTACAGATACAAGTACAATATGGACCGACCACAGCGAACCCACCGTGCGTTCGCGGCGTCGCCGCCACCGCCGCCTTCGCCACCCCCATGGATGAAGTCCTGCTCCAGCCTCCGCCCCGCGTCGCAGCCGAGCGCCAGCAACCGTTCCACCATCTCCACGCGACCCGTCGCCGCAGCGGCGTGAAGCGGCAACCTACCCCGTGGGTCACTGCGGTTCAAAAGCTCAGCAAGCGGCCTACAGCCCCCGGCCCCCGCGGCGGCGGTGGCCAGAATACTTGACAGGTCGTCCGCGGTGAGCGCCGCCGCCGCCGCCGCCGCGGCGGCGGCGGCGGCGGAGCCGCCGCTGGTGGCTGCGGGATCGCTGCCCAGAGAGAAGTGGAGCGGTACGAGCTGTACGGGGACCACCGTGCCGTCAGGCAATTGCATGCTGTAGGTCTTAGACGTGGCGGCAGCGGCAGCCGCGAGGGGGAGGCTTGCGCTGGGCGGTAGCAATACCCTCCTGGGCCAGGCTGATCCAGGAGGAAGCAAAGTATTGGCCAGTGAGTGTGGATGATCGCCGGCGGTGCCAGCGAAGTCGGGGTCGGCGGCATCGCTGCCGTTGCCGCTACCGCTGGCAGCGGCAATGGCACCATTAACCGCGTCCAGCAGCGTTCCTAGGGGTCCATCCCCACCTGTGGAGGCGCACAGAAACACGCGCAAGGCAGCAAACCGCCAGAACAAACACGCATATGGTGGACATGCAGTTTCCACAAACCCATCTCCAACAAGAATTTGCTCTCTTGAAACATAAATTCATAAACCAATCGGGGTTCCCTACATAAGTGCTTAAGCTGCACAAAAGAGTAAAGGAGCACATGCCAAAGCCTAAATGTACGGTCAAAATACGGCCGAAGACCAGTAAGAAACGGATGAAACACTCCAATCCTCCGCTCGATTCCGCTGCTGACGCCATTCCTAAAAGAGCTCCCTCGGCCTCATGGCCGTACGATACGATACATCCACAGATGATAAGCGACGCCAGGTATCCGTTTCCTAAGGCCCCTAACCATTCTGGACCCTAATCCTCCTAAGTCGGGGTTCGAGACGTCGTCTCCTCAAAAGTAGCTTTCACGCCCAAGTGGGAACTTCTTTTTCAGTCAGGTCGATGAGTACCAGTGCCTGTGGCAGCCAGCGGCTTTACCATTGCTCATATTGCTCATATTGCTACATATACACACATATATATACACATATATTGTGTGTGTGCGCCACAGCACAGACGCCGACATCAGAGACACAGGGCGGCAGACCTACATGAAGCTTCAGCAGGGGAGTCCAAGTTGCAGGTGACATTTAAAAAAAACGGTTGCAAAACTCACTCAAAGCCGAAGGAAAGGTCATCGGGTCCAAATCTAGCACAAAGGCCCTGCCGCCGTCGCGAGGAGCCCCGCTACAGGCCCTGTCGCCGTCACCGGTTTTGATGAACCCGTCGAGCTCCCCGCTAGCCACGGCCGCGCCACCATTCATCCCAGTGTCCGCCACCCATTCGCCAGTAATGCTAGGCCCAGAATCCACCGCAGCTGCACGCGTGCTGGGATTCGCCACAGAGCCCATCGCCACGCCGTCAGGCTGTGACGGAGGCGTCTGCGATGATGTTGTGGCAGCAGCGGCGCCGCGACTGCTCATCTCCGCATCCGGGATTTGAAAAGCTGCAGCCTGGCTTTCCCGGGCGTCACTCCCATTACCGGTCCCGCCGCCGTCGCCGCCTCGAGTCGCAATGTACGGCCGGGACAGGTCCAAGACAGGCAAAGTACGACCAATCGCAGCAGTGCTTACGCCGCGGGCGGCCGCGGCTTCCGCTGCCACCGTCGCCGCTCCCAGCACGACCACATGGCTTCCTGCCTCAGACTCCCTGACTCCGCCTTGCCGCTGCTGCTTGAACGCCAGTCTAGCCTCCAGGCCTTGTTGCAGCATATGCAGAAGGTCAGCCTCCTCCGAAGCGTCCCACCCGGGAGCTGCCCCCTCCGCAGGGCCCCCTTCTGCTGCCGCTGCTGAGGCGGCTGCACCTGCAGTTTCCGCATCTGGCAGTGAGAGCCCAGGCCCTGCAACGTCCTCCATTTGGTTCCCGTCGCGGACCTGTTCGGAGCTTCCACGACGCTCAGCCGCCTCATCATTGCTACCGGCGCTGCTTCGCTGGTGTCCCGCCGCCCTGCCATCATCCCGACCATCGCGACGGCCGCTGGCCCCGTTAACGGAGGCGGAGCGGCCGACACGGCTTACTGCGACGTGGGCCGACCTGGCCACGGCAGCATCAGGAGCCGTGTCTGGTTGGAGCAGCAGCTGCTGCTGCTGCTGCGGCGGCGGCGCTCGCGTTCCGTCAGGTATGGCCGGTGCAGCAACCACCGCAGCAAAAACAGCTAGCGGCGGGCAAGCGACCCCGCTGCCGTTGCGCTCAGTAGCGCCGTCCCCGCCGCTGCTAATAACACTGTTAGCAGCGACGTCCACGGGCCGGCCAGCCTGGGATTCGCCGCGTGCAGGCGACGCAGCGGCACGCTGCACCTCTTGTGGATGAGGCTGCGGCGCAGCCGCCACCGCATGCTGCGGTCTGCAGACAACCGCACCGGAGCCCTCCACAGCGGCGTCTGATTTACAGGCTTGCAGCCTACCGGACGAAAGGAACGGCTCAGCGGAGATCGGCAAAAGCAGAGCATGCAGCGGCAGCGCAACGCCTTGGACGCCTGGACCGCGGCTCGGTCCCGCCGTCCCCAGGGTCAATGACTGAGTCGCCGCCGTTGAAAGGCTGGGCTGCTGCTCCCGGGCCCGGGGCGCGTCACCCGGGGCGGACTCCGGGAATGACGTCGGCTGCATGGACAGGCCTGTGGCCTGCTGCTGCTGCTGCCCGTCTGGCGTCGTCGTCGTCGTCGGCGGCGGCGCTATCCCCGCACGGCTTGCAATTGCCCACCAGATGAGCGCCGCGACCTCGCCGGGGCAGTGCCGCCGCCAGTCCGGACCAAACGTGCGCTCCAGGGTTGGGATCCAGTTGTCGCGGACGTACGACTCCCATGGATCCTGTTCCGGTGTGTGCACGTCCACACAGGGCACAGGGCCGCAGTGTGTACGGGTCGACCATGAATACATTGGCAAGAGAGAGAACCCCCCCACACGGCGTTGTGAGCGATAAAAGCTCTGATAATGTTATGTTTCCAGGTTCTCGTCTAATTTTTACAGAAGGCGCTTCAAGGTGGAAAGAAACCCAACTGGGGAAGACACACCGGGTGACTGGGTCATCGGTCACTGGGTCATCGGTCAAGTTCAGAAATACATCAACCTTGCGGAACGAGCCAACGGATAGCTCATGTGGCAAGCATGTGGCATAAAAGCCATATTCAAGCACGAGGAGGCTCGCAGGCTAGCCGATTACGACAAAAAACAATGGGCCGAGCTCGGCCCGCAACAATAAACGATGCATTTATCATGGGTTGCATAGGACAATGCGCCGGAAGGGGGAGAGGAAGACGAACCGTGGAGCCAGGGGTAATTATAAGCGCGGATTCTGAGGCGGCGGCGGAGGAGTAAAACGCGATCTAGACTGTGCTGCATGCGCAAGATAGATCGCAGTTTTATACCAGACATAGGAAGCTCTGGCTAATTATTTGGCGAATGCTGTTACCATCGCCTGCCTAAACTGCTAATGACTCGATCCTGCCCTTCAAATAAAGTTGCCAGCCGACGGCACGGTATTCCACCTGTTAGACTTCGGATTGATGCGCGACAGCAGATGCATCGGAGCAGTATGCGTCACAACGCACACTCAGCGTGTTTTACAAACTCATACCGAAATAAAATTCCGAGATCCCAAAGCCAGTAACGCGGTAGGTAGGTATGGTGTTTCACCGGTGTCGTGTTCAGCACCAGCTGCAAGCAAGATGACCGTCCTTGTAGCATTCAACAACAAGGAAGAGGGAATTGCTTGGAAGGAGCGTGTAGCCTAAGTAATTGGGTCTAGGCCAATTAATTGGGTCGGGGTTCATGTGGGTCCTACAGTGTCACTTCTCCTGCAACAAGCATGCCAAGCATTAACATACGACTGGATTCGTTGCCTTCGAGACTGTGCTCGTAATGTTCTGTGCACCTATGCAGACTGGGAGCACGGCTACTTTAGGCGTGGCAGGAGCGGAAGCGTCAACCCACATCATATGTGACGAGGGTCGCGAACCGGCAGCTTGTTGCGGTAAGCTCAGGTATCGCACCGATGAGTGTGTTGCTGCTAGTGCCTCAGGTAATCAAGCAATATAATCAACCGACAGGACACGCATACGAGTTGAAGGGCGTTTAACAGTGATGCGTTCACGGGGGGAGTGGGAGCATCCCCCAAGGAGGGAGGTCGCCAAATCCCAGCACTGTCCGCTTCTCCATCAGACGTGATGAGACAGGGCTCCCACAATCCAAGCAACCGCATAGCCCCAGGAAACATGAATAATAATGTAAAAACAGAGGTGCCTTTCCAGGCGACCACCGCTTGGCACTCATTCAAGGCGCGGGTACGGCTGTTCATGGACTCCAATACGCATTCGTTGAGCATGGAGTATGCAAGGAAACGAGCGACCGCTGTAAGGCCCCAAAAGCCCATCAGGTGACTTTTCGCATTCCTTCCCGGATATGGCGTTCGCGATATGGCGTTCGCGATTCGGTTCATACATGAACGCGGCCGATGAAGCGCCGGTCAAACTACCGTGGGCGTTTCCTTACCGCACGGCGATGTCGCCGGCGACGGCTACGGCCGCTACTGCTCCGCCGTCGGCCTGAAGGGTTTTCAGGCGCTTGTGAAGAATCATCCGCGCGCGCCTCCGCGCGTGCAGCCCAAGCCATAGGACTAATTCGTGGCCCTTGGGTCTCGCCGCAGGGCTCACTTGGAGACGGCCGAAATGGTGCCGATTCGGCTCCATCGGATGAGACCTCCAAGCTTGTGCTATTAAGGCTTCTCTTCATTACAGGTCCTGCGCGGAAGCCGTCGGGGGAGGCGGCTTACCCTTGCGTTATGCCCGAGGCAGGGCTAGGATCGAAACCCTGCAAAGTTGACCAGTTACTCTGATACAATTTATGGAACTGCTATAAGCAGATGCTGCCGACGCCAAGTAACTTCCAGAGCGTAGGATTCTTCCAAGGGTCGGCACGATTGGTATTGAGGCAACGGCATGGCGGCGCTGTGTGCTAAGCAACATCTACTAGTGGATCGCTACCGCGAGGAGCGCCTTTCTTAATAAAAATGCCAACGGGCACAGTTGAGGCCTATCACCATAAACGCTGCGACTCACCTAATTCCTCCACCCTGCTTCGGCATCAATTTTTCAAGGTGCCTCAGGTTGTAAGGGCATATCGGTGTGGAGCTGGATCAATAGCTCTCGTTCTATCAGTGTTCTGTTCTGACACAGCCTACACGTGCCTACCCCAGGTAGCCAGATCGCACCATGCTGATAAAATATATGTGCCCTAGTGGATTGTGGAAAGCAGGGCTGGGGAAATCGTAAGGGGCAATGACAATCCTATTGCACGGCAGTGCCCCCCTTCCATTGCTTCAGCTTCTTCAATCCGCAAGTTGTCCATGTATTTCTGTTACTGATGCAATTCATTACGTGAGCGCACCTTTACAGTTCCATCCCAAGGACCGCTAGCGCTTGTGACTTGTTGGACTGCGGATAAGCAAGCAAACTTCGCCAGAACGCCTTTTAAAATCCATTCAAACTCTTCTTTTGTAAGGAATGGAACGGACGGGCTAGGAGGATATGCTACAAGGATAAAAGGAATACAAAATGTCGGAAACTAAAAAGAAGGCGAGGACCGAACGCTGGTGACCCAAGCATACTGCTTAACGTATTCAACAAACATTTAACTCCTGCGTACAGATCAAGCCGGGTCAGATAGAGGCTCACCCAGAGGAGCTTGCCATCGTTGTGCACTATGAGGTATGTCCAGGTTTCCCCGTACTGGTGGACTGAAACGCATCAAAGTTTTCAGGCGTGGGTGTGATGCGATAACCTGTCGCGTTCGCTGGCGCCGCTGCGACCTGCAGCCGCTGACATGCCCCCTTCGTCCACGCATTCCTGCCCGCGGCCTTGCGTGCCGTCCTCTGTTTGCTACAGGTCCAAGAAGTCTCAACTCAGCCCGATGGCTCTCAGAAAGTTGTTAGCAAAGAGCCCGGCGAAAAAAAGTAAGTCTCTCAGCGTTCCTGTCGGCATGTTATAAACATTGTTCCTCACGATTTCCCTGACCTTGGTTGAATTGCAGGATCTCTGTCAAGTCGTTGTCGGAAAAGACTAACGTGCCTTTGTTAGCGACCGAGATTATTGAGAAATGCAAGCTGATTCACCCTTCGAAGGTATGGGACGGCTTGCGGTTACTTCTATCATGAGCTGACGCTTTTCCAAATACACATAGCCTGGAAACACCGGCGACACATGCGACACCCCTTGGCCTTGGTATGACAGGCTGGGCAAGTCGAGGAGCTGCTGTACCAGCTGCAGAACCGGGGAAAGGGGGGAGCAGCGCCTGCTGGTAAGGGCGCAGCAGCAGCGGCGCCTGTGGCGAAGGCCGCACCGGCACCGGCGAAGGGTGCCGCGCCTGCACCAGCGCAGCCGCCATCGACGCCACAGAAGCCCGCTGGCCAACCCCCTGGCACACCACAGAAGAAGCCTCAGGCCGCTTCGCCAGCACCGGGGGCCACGCTTAATGGAAAGCCCACAGCCAAGGCGCAGAGCAGGCTTGACGCAGGTAGGAAGGGAACGGCGCTGGGCCAAGCGTACACCGTGGTTCTCATCTGCTTGCCGTGAGACCCCGTGACGGACAGCGCTAAGCATGATGAAGTGCGCCTGGCCTCGAGAATTTGAAGCTCTCGGTATTTTGCGCGTGCAACGTTTATGCATGACTAGCGTGGCGGCATGGATGTGGGCCCATCGGGTGGCCAAAAACACCGGGCTTTGACGCTAAAAGGAGGAACAGTTGAGGGTGTGGGGCATTACCTGCCGCCCATAGTCTCACGTTTTCAGCAGATACACACCAAAGCCGGAAGTGCATAAACGCACCTACTCAGCCGTTGAGGCCGACCGCCGTTGCCTCCGACCGGCAACCGCTGCAAGTTACTGGCCGCCCTGAAATGCTGCTTAACCCAAGCAAAAGGTCATGCCGTCACGCACCAACTATGTCCATGCTTGCCTTGCCATGGGTTTCCTCAATTGAACCCAAATGGATATACGCGTTGGCCACCGTCATCAGCCTGAGGGCAAAGAACCCCATTTTTTGGACTTTTGGACTTGGCGTAGAGCAGCAGTTTGCGACCAATGGATCATTAGTTTGACAACCGTTGCCATGAAACGCCAGCTGCGCGTTGCGAATCTTGGCTGTAATGATAGCTGGCCTTACGTCCCATTACACCACGTCCGTGTAACGTGATTGTGTGCCGGGGTATTGTCCTTTTCTCTGCTCTCTTTCCCCCCGGCTTCCCCCAAGCCGGACTTCTTTCCCGGGACGTAAACCCCTTTCACCGCTGCATTATTTTGACCGTTTACGGCGTTGTCACAGTTGCCTTTGTTACGTTGCTGGCCCGGCCCGCGCACGCAGAGGCCGAGGAGCGCGCGGAATTGCAACAGCGGCGGCAGACGCAGGCGAACCAGATCTTCAAAATGCAGCAGAAACAGTATGAGCAAGCGTACATGAACAAGCTCCACACGTACATCGTAAGTGGACCATTGGACTCTTGTCCTGCAGAGCTGGATTAAATGGTTTTTTTCCGATACGCCGTCGTGCTTGGTCCCGTGGGTGCCAGCACAGCCCACGCAGCCTAGGGCAGCGACATTTCCTGCCAATAAGCGCCAACACCTGTAGTAGCGCCAGTGGCCAGCCACTCTGCCGTATAGAATATTTCACTGAGGTGTTTGCACCCAACATTGACCCGGAAAGGACGATTTGGTACACGTTGGGCTGCGGCGGGAGCTTGCCTAATGACTTCGTATGTTGTTTGATGTTATTCATGGGACATGTATGACAACGTGAAGGGGTTGTGTGCGGTGTTACAGAGCAGCGAAGCCCGGTATCGATACTGTGCATCGCCGTCGCGTTAAAACTGACCCATGGCCCCCTCCCCCGGCTTTTACGGACACACCCGCACTTGTGTGCAGAACTTCTTTAACTTGTAACTTGTTAAAACTGACGCATGCTACCCAACTGCACTGCACGGCTCGACTGCACACATGCCCTCCTACCGGTATACCGCCGCCCCGCATGATTAACAGCCAAGCTTTCGTACTCCTGTGCCGTGCGCTTCCACAGGAGGGCTTGTATGAGGAGGACATGAATCTCAAGGTCCGTGCGACTGGCATGATCGCCCAGCTGTTCCGCAACACGGAGAATTTTGAGGTAGGGAGCTTTTGCTCGTCGCTGTCCACCTTTCGGGTTTAGCGACGGAGGGGAGGGCACGTCCCAGCATTTGCACAGGCCGGGTCTTTTGCAGGGCGGGGATTGCGGCGACGGACTGCTGCTGGGCCGACAAAGGCATCAGCGCTGTGTAAGGCGCTGGCAGAGGCAGAGATAGGAAAACTTTTGAGTTCCTTCTGCGCGATTCGCGATTATGCGCACCGCGAATGATGTTTCTTGGAATCCTAGTCCAATCCTTGGTCATGGTCAGGCCGCAAGAAGTGACGGTGTTTTGGCGGTGTGACGACGTCGCTAGCTATGGTGGTGGTGAGGATGCCGTGGTGTCCTGCGCAGACGCTTCTGACCCACGAGACGTTGCTTCAGACGCTGGCGCGTGTGCTTCGCGAGGACGGCAAGCGCTCGATTGACTTGTGCACCAACATCGTGTCAGTTTTCTTCTCCGTGTCCAACTTCACTCAGTTCCATGGGGTCATTATGCAGAACCAGGTAAACGGGGCAAACGGGATTGGACAGGGGTGCGAGGATTGCGTGCGGCGCAACAGCGGCGCCCCGCTCGTGTTTTGAAGTGAAGGGGGGCGCGGGGGATAGTCCTGGAGAGCTTCCGGGGCTGTGAAATCCATAAAGCGGCATTGGCCACATCTACTAGCCACTTGCGGTGGCTGAAGAGGAGGAAGGCGCTAACGGCTAATCGGTTGGCCGTTGACTGTTATTCGCAGGTTGGCGCGCTGACCATGGATCTCATCGATCTTGAGATCAAGCGCACGGAGCACAGGTGCGTGTCTGCTGCCTGGCTTCTAGCAAGGCCTTGTTAACTCGCAGAGATAGGGCCATGAAGTAGCGCAAAACGAGATAACGCACGTGGGGGCTCGGAAGGGGTTTGCTGTGTGGCTGTTGCTGTTAAAGCAATCGTACCCCGCAGAGCGGATGTAGTCCAGCAGTATCGACGGCGTGTCCCCATCTCAGGGCTCTGTCCATCTTTGCTGTGAATCCGCAACCTTACAACGCTTTCCCCCACGCATGGCAGGGCGGCGGAGGAGGGTATCTCGCCTGCCATGGTGGCGCAGAAGGCCCTGGAGGCGAGCCAAGGACAGGTGCGCGATTGGCGCGATGAAGATTCGGTGTGGGTGAACAGTCAGGCACGTTTCAGTCGCATCGATGGAGTGTCGGGTCTCCTGTGCCCTTTACCATGCGCTCTGCGCCGCAGCGGTCCTCGGCTTAGCTCAGCACACAGATCTTGCCCGGGCCCGTTTTCACCGTGGCAGGTGACTCTCAGCGAGCGTGAGAAGAAGCTCTTGGCGTTGATTCAGAAGCAGGACCGCTTGCTGTACATCGCTTTTTACATGCTGCTCAACTTGTCAGAGGACATTGAAGTGGAGCGCAAGATGAAAAAGAAGGTACGAGGATGCGATGGGGCCTCGCCTGGGCTTTGGTGAGCATTATATTTGCTCTAGGCCTTCCAGGGGAAACAAGCCGTGGGCCGGAAGGCTCCGCGGCGGCCGGCCGCTGCTGGTGGGTCCCATGCGATGTGGGCCTTGGCGCTTGGGATTGGCGCCTGCAACCGCCGCTCCTTCCGAAGCCTTCACGCACAATAGTACTTCGACCTCTCATTTTTGAAAGGGTCCATTGCCGCGTCCCTCGCGCAGCGCTCCGCATGTATCCACCAGCATGTATCCCTTTCTATTCCCCCCAAGCAAATCCTTTTCCAGTCTCCGTCAGCCGCCGGTCCTCGGCACTCAGCTCAATGAGCACTTTACTCCGTTACCTCTCCCCTCTACCCGCAGAACATCGTGGTGTACCTGGTCAAGATGCTGGAACGTTCCAACGTGGAGCTGCTCATCCTGGCCACTACTTTCCTCAAGAAGCTGTCCATCTACAAGGAAAACAAGGAGACCATGGCGAGCTGCAAGATTGTGGAGAAGCTCATGAAGTTTGTGCCGGTGCTCAATGATGTGCTGCTCATGTCGGTACTGCGCCTGCTGCATAACCTGTCCTTTGACAACACGCTACGGGACGACATGGTAAAGCACGGACTCATACCCAAGGTGCGTTCCCGTTTAGGGGTTGTGTATATGCGACCGGCCTGGCAAGAGTAAGAAGTGGGAAAGGGCTGTACGGGTTTCCTGCTGACGACTGCAGGCCGTGAAAGTCATGCGGGCGTAGTGGCTAGCTAGCGGATCGCTAAGCCACTGGGTTTGCCGGATGGATGTTTGGGGGGGGGGGTAATTACCTCTCCCCCCCCTTAGGTGGCAATGGCCTCACAACGTACAATACAAACGCAGCACTGCTGACGCCGCACCTTCATCACCCCGTTCTTCTCCCAGCTGCTTAAAACTTTCCACCGGACATTCTTGTCATTGAAGTTATCATAGCAGCTTGAGACCTCAAATTTGCTCGCTTCGTCGGCGTTTCGTTGTTGCTTTGTTGCACTGATCCTGCTACCGCGTGCCTATAGATCTTTTGCCTGGGTTCTCTCGGAACAAGCTATCCGAGACGCTCTTCCTCCGAAACTCCCTGAAACTGTTTCTGGTTCCTTTCTTATTTTTTGCTTCCCCGTTTATCGTTTCATTTCTGCTACTAGGCTGTGGAGCTGATGTCAGTTCCCAGATTCCAGCCGGTGGTGCTCGGCCTGCTGTACCACATCTCCATGGAGGACAAGTACAAGAGCCTCTTCACCTTTACAGATTGCCTCAACAGGATGTATGACATGCTCATGCGCGTGCAGGTGAGCTGATGCTTGCACATTGCGACGCTGTTGCAGCCCCCCTTGCTCCTTCCCCAGGGGACTTGACTGGGAATCTTGGCTTTCTAGTTTGCCTGTTATCGTCGTTTCTGCATCTCACCTTTTCCGTGGTGCGTTTTTCCTATCGATTTGGGAGTCCCAGTCCCACACGCACCTTCCACAGTCCAAGCGCTTCTTATGTCGCCACTTACGTCTCAACTGTCTGACCATGCACCGTACGCGCCACGTCTGTCTGCGCGTTCATGTGCCTACCAGCGTATTGCTGCTTGCTTGCACCTCACACGACCTCACGGCGTCTCTCTTTTCCTGGCCCTTCCGCTCCGTTTCCACGCCTAGGACCTGCGCAACACCCCTGAGCTCATTGCCCTGGCTGTCAACCTGACGCAAAACCCGCGCAACGCAGAGGTGAGCGCCCCACGGTGCCTTTCGGTTTGTCATCGCTGTCGGTGCCGCTGTTGCTGGTGCTGCATGCCATGGGTGCTGTCCATTGTCGCTGTTGCTGATGCTGCTGTGTCCGGTGTTTTAAGTGGTGTTGTCTGTGGCGTAGGATGGATGGTGATGTTTCCAACTTTAATGCCTCCCATTCACTTTCTTCCAAATCCAGAACCTAAAATTACACAGCGTAATAACGATTGTCTGAACCCCAACGCTCAATGTTCCAAGCTGTATCGACCCCAGCGAACCTTCAAGGTGCAGCACGGATAGCATGTCGACATGTCCGCGTCGATTCAGTTGTTAACCCATCCTTTCGCTCTCCTCCCCCACCTCCCCCGTCCCCTCCTCGGTCCCTCAGACGCTGTGCGAGGGCGACCGCTTCGACAAGATGATCCGCCGCGCCTTCCAGACATGCGACGAACTGATGTTCAAGGTGCTCCGAAACCTGTCTCAGCAAGACGGACTCGCCATCAAGCGCCGTTTCGGACCGTACGTGGAGCAGCTCGTCACACTTCTGCGGGTGGGCCGGGTGGCGGCTGGGGATCTGTGTTTGCTTGTGTACGTTGTGTTTCAATCCTCCCAATAGATCCCGCCTCCCATAGTGCACGCCTTCAATTTTCCCTCGTGCCTTATCTTAAGATATTATGATTTTCCTCCTCCGCACAGGCGCCCGACATCACCGCGGAGCTGTTTGTGGAGGTTCTGGGCTGTCTGGCCAACCTGTACATCCCCGAGTTCGACTTCCTAGGGTTGGTGCGCAAACACGACCTGCTCACCTTCCTCGCCACGTATGCACAGGTATGCATGGGTAGTGCATGTCGGCTGTGTTGTCGCGCAGTTTCAAGTCAGTTCACCTTGTCCTATGTTCTTCTTGTCCATTGACGACGTGCCCTCGTGTGTATTGGTACTTCGTCCCCTCTTGCTCCCTTCCTTGACCTTGCCACTTTGGATGTGTGTGTCTGTATGCTTCCCTCTTCACCTTGTTCTCCCGTCACCGTCTTCCCTCTCTACCTCTCCGCCCGCAGCCGGGCGCCGTGGACGATGACATCCTGCTCGAGGTGGTCATGTTCGTGGGAGTGCTCTGCAACGAGGGCACTGCGCCGCTCATCTGCCAGAGCGGACTGGTAAGTCTCATCTAGGGGAAAATGGGTGGGTTGGGGTGAAGATAAACGTTTTAGCCATATAGCTAGGTTATGGTACGTATTAACATATACTATAACGTAGCTGGGGTGTTGTGATGTGGTGGCGCGCGGGTTAAGGGAGAGACAGCCGAGCAAACATAGGATGGAGGGTAGGGATGGACTTGAGCTGGGGGTCCAACGAATAGGCAGACGGAGGGGTGGGGAGGCTCTCAGACATAGGCAATGTCTTAAGAAATGGAGGAAGAAGGAGAAGTGAAGGAATACCGAAACCGTCATCCAACGCGACCCAGCTGCAAAAGGCCGTGAATTGGGGCCGACAGCTGGGGCCCTCCTGGGTATCCAAAAGAAAGAAAGGCGAAAAGGAGGGATATCTTTGCGAAAAAAATAAAATAAGAAAAGGAGGGATCCATTGTATCCTTTCTGGGCGTACATTGGCGGCATGGTCTTTGACAACAAACAAACAAACAAGAAGTCAAGAACATCATCTCTCTTTGCGCACTCCGCCCAGGCACTCAGTTCACCCGTTCATGTTTCCCCCCCCCCCCCCGGTCACTCGCCTGGCTGGTGACGACCGCAGGTAGCAACGTTGTTCACGCTGATGGGTGACAAGAAGGAGGACGACGAGTTTGTGCTTCAGATCGCCTTCACGTTCCATAAGTTTCTGCTGCACGACGAGACGCGCACCATGCTGCTTTCTAATACTCAGCAGGTGGTGTTTTACTTGGTGGACCTGCTGCAGGACAAGAACAAGGAGGTGGGTGGCTGCATGTGTGCTTGTGGGTGATGGTGTGGTTAGAACGAGAAAGAAGGAATGGAGTGGGTGCTGGGTGATTGCTAGGTACGTGATGGCAGGTGTGGTCTGTTAGAGGCAAGGAAAGGGAAAGGAGACGAGGGAGAGGAGGAAGTCAGTCCCAGACGTGACGTCAGCGGCTCCGATTGGGATATTTGGGACACTGTTCAGGGAAGTAAGACGAACCCCTGGCGAGTGAAACAGATATCAGGAATACTGTCAGGGGAGGTAAGACGCCCTTCTTTCAAAGCTTCGTTTCGAAAAGCCACTCCTGGGCTCATATCTGCTTTCAACTCCATACGGCATACTCGTATAGACAATCGCGACAACCCACGCCACGCACGGGGGGCCCCTTCCGCAGGTTCGCCGTGTGGCCGACCAGTGTTTGGACATCATTATGGACACGGACGAGGAGTGGGCGGTGCGCATCCGCAACCTCAAATTCGAGTCATTCAATCAGGAGTGGCTGGACGTGGTGTCACAGCCACCAGACCAGATGGCAGCGGTGAGTACTGGGAACAGGAGGAGGAAAAGGAAAGGGGGGACCGGTGCAGCCGAATTGCTGTGGGAAGCCGAAGGGCAGGGGGCCGCTGTCCCTCCAGTATGGGGTTAGGAGCTGGGAGTGGTTAGAGGCAAGATATTTTAAGGTTTGAAGGTGTTAACGTAGTAAGATGAGGAGCGGCCCCAACTGCTGGGACTCCCCTCTGGGAGGAGAGGAGAGTGGATGATGGGCATGCCATGATTGCCCCTGTTGGCAGTATTTACCTCCCCAGCCTCCTTGGGTCCTTCCGGCCTTGGTTTTGCCAATTTAATGTGTGGGGGACAGCTTCGTTGCTTCCTTCCATGCTGCACCGCTTGGTTTTTCTGCGAAGTAAAATCCTGTAGACCTGAAAATACTACTACTCCTTAACTGTAAATTGTGTTTGCCGTGTCTTGCTTGTTGTCGCCGGTCCCTTCATCGACAATAGCACGCCCGACCGCGCCATGGATACGACGAGGCGGAGGTGGATTACAGCGGCGACGGTGAGAGACTGGGGACGTAGCTCTACAGTAGCCTCTGGGGTGCGGGAGGGGAGAGAGGCCTTGACTGGCATTTCCACGGCCGCAGCTGCGCTAACGCTACCTTTACTCTCGCTGAAGCGCCTTTCTCCCCCAATGTTTCGACGTGGGTTCTTTTCGGGCTTGGCTTCTTCCTCTTTCCTGACACTCTCCTTCCTTGCGGCTCGGTCCTGTTTAGGCTATGGCTACCAGATCAGCGACCAGCGCTTGGTGGCGGATTTCGAAGACATTGGCGGCGGCGGCGCATGGGGCCCCAACGACGTGGGCATCATGCATGCCAATTACGACGGTTACGAGGGGACGTACGACGAGGAGGAGCTCCGGCGCGGATACGCAATGTGAGGAAAGGATCACGGGGTGTTGCACCAGCAGCGGCGGCGGTGGCAGCACTGCCGCCAAGGCGCCGCTCTGGCAGTCCGTTCGCAATGGCGCTGCCGGCGGCGGCGGCGGGTGTATGCGGGAGCAGGGGCCAGTCAACCGCCCTCCTTTGTGGTTGTTGATGGGGGCGGTTCTTGCCTTGTGCTTGTGGGGGAAGGTCTGCAGCACAGCGGCGTACTGGGGTGCGGTAGCGTAGCGGCTTTGTGCCGCACAGGGCACAGCGGGTATGGCGGTATAAGAAATATTTCCTTGCCTTGCGAATGTGCTTTGGCGAGGCCCAATCTGACTGCGCAAGCTAATAAGCGGGAGGTGCCATACTGCGCATGGGGTCCAGGGCCTGGTGGAAGCACCTTGAAAGAAGGTGCGCTTATGGTGGGGGAGGGTATAGTGTTCGCGGCAATGGCAGCGCGACAGTGGGCGTGAACGGGTTGGCTCTATAGCCTTCCAGGGCCTATAGAGTCGGCCAGTCGATCAGCCTGAAGGGAGGTGGGAATAGTGAGGGAAGCGCGCGACTATAGCTCATGTGTCATCATATATTGTCATTCTGCGCGATACCTCGTCCGTCCTCTGTACATTTTCGTGCTGTCTTAGTTCCCGTGCGACTTCTTAGCATATTACAAAATTTGGCGATCCAGGAGGAGAGATCCAAGCTGTGCTTTACTCCGTGCCTTTTTTGCTTCCTGCCTTCTAATCGCGATAGTACAGCTTTTTCCGGCAACGGTGGTATTAGCATCATTTGGTCGACACCATATCAGCGTCCAGCGCCTGCAAAATCTGCTGTGCTTCTTGACTCGCTGCCCCCGCGCCGTCGGCCCCACGGCTGCCTTCGCGACGCGCCAAGGCTTCCTGTTACCGCGCTTGCAAGCAATTGCGGTGCTGCAAAAGCACCTTCTTCACCTGCGCCGCGCTCTCATGGGGTGGTGAGGCCCATGCCACGCGGTGCGGTTTCTAATTGAAACCCCTTGCCTTCGAGCGCCATCACGGTTTTGCTAGCCATGTCCTGGTGCGCGGCGGCCGACGTACTATTAGTTCTGAAGTTCCGTGATTCATGTGTTCCTTCCTACCCATGCGCATGAAAAACCGTCACGCTTCCAACTATCCCCCTCGTGCGCAAACACACACACAAACATTGAGAGCGACAATCTCATAGGAACACGTTTGTTACTGCTCTCAGCATATACATATACACGTGCACACTCGCAGGGGCATTTACAGGCTGAGGTGCATAATAGCGACGCACGCGAACGCACACGAATCCATACGTTGTACGGGCGGGAGGAGGTCGGGTCGTGTCGGGTCCCAGAACAGCTCCTACAGCGCCCCGCCGGTGTCATGTCGGGACAGAGGACGCGGGCAGGATAGGACGGTTGTCCCCATCCCGGGCGCAACCCGAACCGACAACTGGAACCCCAACCAGCCTACCTACCTACTTACTCAGCACCCACACATCCATGTGGGTCTCAAACCCACAATTGGCCCCTGGGGGCGGATGACAAGTCGGGTGTCGGCTTCCTCGAAGCCGGAAAAAGGGCGGGCCCCACCTGCATCCGTACAGGCCGGTAGCTAGCACGGCACGTGTGACAATTGATGGGTAGTGTCACTGCGGTGGGAGATGTGCTTTGTTGCAGCAGTACTGATGGTGTGGGAGCTAAGCTTGCACCGGCGGAATCGTCAGCACCGCCTGCGGGCTCCACGCGAATCGCATCCATCCCGGGTGCATGCCGCATGGACAGTGCGGCAGACCGCAAGTCGGAATGCCCGTGCGGGCAAATTGGTAACGCAAGCTGAGTGAAGTTCGGTGCTGTCTGTGATGTTTATCCCCGAAGCGCCAGCGGCCTCAGCAATCCGCCCCACAGCCGCGAGCTTCATCGCGGCACACCGCAAGTCTTCGGAGGCCCCGTGCATTGGCCAAAGTAAATGTACAAACAAGCAGCTTGTGTATTTCATATAGAAATGAAAGCAAATTTGTTGGCCTGCTGGTGGCATGTCGGATTGCTCATGCCGGCAAATGGTAACACAAGCTGGGTGTTCGAGTTATCATACGCCGTCATCTCAGAATTCCATTATGAGATACGCGGCAGCTTTCGGGATGAAATTTAGCGCGAGAGGCGTTGATGTGACTTTTGAGGTCGGTGAATGGAGGCAGCTAAACTTGTTTGTGCTCATACGATTTTTGTTGGCTACATGCGAGATACCTTGCAATAGAGAATGCTGTATAGTACCTACAACGCGTTTCAGCCGGGCGAGATATTATGTTTGGTCCGTTACACACACACACACACACACGGACATGGGCAATCCTACAGGTCGGGGCCCCCTGGGGCGCTTCGCGCTGGGGCCCCGCCCAAAAAGGGCATCCACCACCGTATCCATCCATCCATCCATTCACACGCCCAACACATCATCCGCCGCTACCAGTTATGTAGGGGATCCACCACCGCCAGGTCCCCCCCCCGTATACATATTTGTAATACAATTGCCGTACACACGTACCCAGTCAGGCCACTGCAGTTACCATGTTGTGTGTGTGTGTGTGTGTGTTGGTTTTGGGCGAGGCCCCGGGCGAGAAGCGCTTTTCGGGGGGCTGAGGTTCCTGGGGTTCCTTGCAGTCAGTCAGTCAGTCAGCGTCGTGTCTCGCGATGGCCTCGCATGCCACGCTGAACTGAGGATTGCATCTAAAAGGTAATACTACGATTCTCCATCGATCACCGAAGAATTAATTCACATGCATCTGTGCGGAAAAATAGCTCATGGGCGTACAAGGTCGAAAACCCTTGAGATGCAACTTGAAGGAGGATGGCGATGTGCTACTGCTGTAGTACAGCTTCCACCGGCAAGTGGGAAGCCCCGAACACGGCATGGCCCCGCACTGCCCATGTGCTCCATACCAGGTTGTGGTGGCGTTATATTCTGGTATCAATGCCTGCCGGAGCTATTCAGGGTTTTGGTGTTGTTATCATTTGCGGTCAGCTATGGCGATCCGAGAAACCGTTCCACCCCTTCATAGCCATCCGCCTTGAGAAGGGCATCCGAAGGGTTTTCTCGACCACGTAGCCTTTGACCCTAGTGCCAGTGATCAGCCTAGCATAGCGTGAAGACCACCGTTTGTGAAACCAGCGGCAGTGTAGCGCATATCAGGATGATTGGGATGTGTGCTGGGGTCAAAGTCAAGAGTCGGCAGCGCAGGTATAGGACACAGCATTGGCGCACTCTTTTGTATTTTTCCTTGGCGTCAACTCTGTGGCTCTGCGGCTACACAGAGCGTGGTGTGTGGAAATCGCCGCGCGTTGGCCGTGGCGGCATGAGGGGATGGCTGCTGAGCATCACTGCATGCAGTTGCATTTTTTCGACGCATGTCGCGGTGCAAACTTCCATTACCATTGTAAAGGCAATCGCCTCTGGCACAGCGGCGACAAGTGGGCGTTCTGAGGGTTGCCCGTTCAGGATATGCAGAGGCGCTGCAAGCGTGTATAATTGTTGTGGTGCAGTCACAGGTTACTGCTAGTTTTCAGTGAAGACATGCATTTTCGCTTGCCGCTTTTCATACCTCATACGATAAAACATAGCACAGAACACAGGTGCATATCAGGAAGCGGGGAATACTGACGGAAGACAGCTACGGTAATTCGTGATCAGTCTCAATTCCCACTCGCAAGCAGAAAGTCCTTTCCGAGGGTGCACAGTGTGCTCACAGTGGCAAGGTCGCTGACGGCAGCGGTGGGTTCATGATGCAGATACCTGCATGGATGCACGCGTGGCTGCATACATTTTTCGCTGGCTGTGGACGGTGGGAGTGAGGTCTGCCATTGGCGGAAGGACAAGTACGCCCAGCGCGGTTGGCATGATTCAGGTGCTGCAGGTTCTGCTGTATCGGCAGGGGAACCATCATCTCGGGACCGAGATGCTGGCATGAGCACGGGTGGGAGCAGTGTGATGCTGCAGTTCCAGGGCCTGGACGCTGCCGCCCTTGCACTTGTGATCCAGCCGCTGGTAGCATGGTGGTGGCCAGCCACTGCTAAGGCGTGGCAGGTGGGGGTTGTGCCGCTGCAGGCGTATCAGGCGGTGGTTGCAGCCGTGGACCAGACCGCAGGCAGCGGGATGCGCTGGGAGCATCTGACGTACGTGTGCAAGGACAGGCACTGATGTGGCCGTTTGGGACCGCTGTTGATGTTGTTACAGGGTGGTTAAGCTTCACCACGCTGTTGTGTGGCCACTGCAGTGGGGCAGCGGGTGCACCTTGTGCGTCCATCAGGGAGGAGCTACAGATTGGCTTGCTCAGGTGGATTGAAGCTCATGGTGCAGGCACAAACGGTGTGAAGGCTTGTTGGCGCGTGCAATGTATGTGGTGAACCGTAAGGAAAACGTGCACCATGTGATGGCACACTTGACGTCAGGGACACGGATGTTTGGCAGGACGCCAATTCGCAAGTAAGGTTGTCAGGAAGGCATTGTATGTACAGGCCATACATCTTCATCCTCGTGAATGGTGCAAGGTGGCCATCAGGCCCAGTCGGCGTGGTACGGCTCCGAACATCAAGATTCGATCATGGAGCGTGGTTAGGAACAGCAAATAAATAAGCGTGTATTTTACGATTGGACCATGAAGCGAAGGCAAGGAGATGAACAAATATGTAAGAGTTGGTCTGCTGCGATGCAATGAGTGAATGTATGATGTTTGTCAGGTCTCGGATCACCAACAAAGCCAGCAACGGTCCATTTGCGACATATTAGCACGTAGCTGGCAGTGTACTTGTGCAGCAGCGCGGCAGAGCGGTGTGATGGCCCGGCGTGGGGCCAGCGCGGCGCTGACAGAGCTGCGGCCGTGCTTAGAGGTGAATGAGGCATTTGAAGCACAGCGTCCGGAAGGCAGTACAGTGGCTGGCTGCAAATGTTTGTTTGCGCACTTGAAGACCGCTGCCGCCCCTGTCGGACATGCAGGGCTTGAGTGCACACCACCGGCTGTTGGAGGTGCTGCAGCTGGACGCGGTGATGACACGTGTGATGGTCACACTAGTGCTGGGCAGTGTGCCAGTCAAGCAGGGCGACCTCGATGCTCTGCAAGTCAGGCTGCACGACATCATGTGGTGTGTGGCACTGCCTCAGTGGTCAAGCGGGCCACCAAGGCGGCTGGGAGTGAGCTGCAAGCTGGTGGCACCATGTCTGCTTTGAGTGGGCAGCAGGCGACGTTGCTGTTTGTGAAAGTTGAGGTGTGTGTGGAAGGGGGGGGACGCACAGCGTGGTACTGTTTGTGTGTGCACCATGTATGGACCTGATGTAACAGACACCCATAACAGACACCCCGCCACTATTGAGCTGGTTAGGTGTAAGGTTGCAGCACTGGATGTCGGCCGGCTGTGGAAAAAGCAACCTTGCCACAAAGCAGCAGGCAGTTCCATGCACCAGGTTGACATGGTGGGCCAGGCATATGTGGCCACTGACAGAAGCAATCTGGCTGGATGGTATGGCGGGCAGGGTGTGTTTGCAGAGGGTGCAACGGGGATGATAATGTGATGGTGCAGGATGGCATGTTGGAAGTAGGCCAGGCACATCCCATGCATGCACCCTCGCTGCCCAGCCTACTTCCAACACGCCCGCCATCCTGCACCATCGCATTATCATCCCCATTGCACCCTCTGCAAACACACCCTGCCCGCCATACCATCCGGCCACATTGCTTCCATCGGTGGCCACATACACGTGGCCCACCATGTCGACCTGGTGCATGGAACTGCCTGCTGCTTTGTGGTGAGGTAGCTTGTTCCACAGCTGGCCGACATCCAGTGCAGCAACCTTGGACCAAACCAGCTCGACAGTGGCAGGGTCGTCCACCTGCACACAGGTGTCAGTTATGTCGTGTCCATACACAGTGTGCACACACAAACAGTATCATGCTGTTCGCCCCCCCCCCCACTTCCACACGCACCTCGACTTTCGCAAACAGCAATGTCACCTGCTTCCCGCACAAAGCAGGCATGGCACCCCCAGATTGCAGCTCCCAGCCGCCTCAGCAGCCTGCTTGACCAGTGGGGCGGTGCCACACACCACGACCAGAGCGCCAGTCTCATGTCGGACCTGCATGGGCTCCAGGCACTTTACATGCAGAAATGGTCGGACACTGGGGCAGCAGCGACCGCAGCGGCCACCGGGACAGCTCAGGGTGGCACGGCAGCAGCTACAGGTGCAAGGCGCAAGCAGGGCGACCCGCACCAGACTGCCTCAAATGCCAAGGCAGGCACGCACCTCTGGTTCTCCCTGGAGGCGGGTTTCTTCCTCCACCCCAACCGTGAAGGCAATTACCCCATCGATGCCCTGGCCAACATGGCTGGCATGATGAGCCAGTGTGCAAGCAGCCTGCCGACCCTCAAGGACCACCAAAGCCTGTACCTGACTTACACTGACAAGCTGTCTGCCTTTGGCAGCCACGCCTCTCCAGTTGTGCCAATCGGCCTGTTTATGGCCATGGGTGCATCTGCCAGCATCCGGGATGCCGGGGAGCTCCTC